TGGGTGGGGCCAGTGGAGTTGAGAAAAGGCAGACCTCCTGATGTACTTCACAGAGACAATCAGCAGGGTTTGCTTCTGGATCCAGTGAGGGGATGAGGGTAACAGAGGATTTAAGGACAATTTGTGGGTATTTCTGAGTAGTTGAATGGCTAGTGAGGTCGTTAACTAAGGTGGGGAAAGCTGGGGGTAGAAAAGGGCTGGAGGAAGGAACAGATCTGGGAGGGAGAATCAGGAGCTCCTTTGTGTCCTATTCAGCGGTCTATGAGCTGTCAAGTGGGCAGTTGGATATGTGGGTCTGGAGGTCTGTGAAGAGGCTGAAGTTGGATGTATCAAATCAATCATTTCAACCATTCAAAGCTTACACTCCTGAGGTCATCTGGACACAATAGGCAGAGAATGGAGGAGTGTCATAAGAAGTCCGTAATTCGTGCCACAGAATGTCACGGTCGGATATTTCTGGGGTTAATTGTTCAAGGCAGGAGCCATTTGGTGGAATGATGACTTCCCCCAGGAGCTGGGAATCCGTAGGCCTGCTCGAGGCTGCCGGGAGACGGAGGCGGCTGTCTTCTTGTCTGGCAGGGTTTGGATTTCAGAAACTTGAGATGGCTTTGCGGGTGTGCATCCCGAGAGTCCCTGATGTCATAGCTTATTATTGGCTGCATGTAACACTTTCTGCTCATTTCCCTTTAACATCCCTAAGGCTTTAGACAAGCGTCGTATGTGTCCACCTGGCCTTGGCTCTGCTGTGGGAAATTAAAAACTAGTGTGTCTCCACCGGTGCTGAAGTGACACAGAATGTCCCAAGCCCAGCATGGTGGGGACAGCAGCCAGGAGTGGGAGGTCCCTAAGGGGAGGTGGGTCTCATGTCCCAGGACAGGGGTGTCAAGTTCAAGCTCTTCTCTCCTCAGGGACAGGCGCCTTCCACAGCCAGGCTTAAATAAGCTTGTTTTGATTTTTTTAAACGGAGCTGGTCTTTTCTTTAGTTTTTTTCACACTTGATTGTAAGCTCCTGGAAGTCCTGCTTTAATTCTCTTTGTCCCCTCAGTGTCCAAGCAGTAGTAGGCTTCCTGTAAGTGTTACATTAATAGGTGAATGAATGTATATAAGGTGTTGAGATATATACCCTGTGGTTCTCAAAGCGTTTACAGTTCAGTCATGGGGATCAGATTCATACATGATGCATAGCAGAGTATCAAAAGCATTATAGGTGACATGAAAAAGCTGTGGGAAAAAAAGCTATTTGATCCCAGAAGAGGGAGAAATTACTTCCCATGTCGGGGCATCAAAAGCTTAGGGCAGACTTGCTGGAGGAGGAAACATATGGCTGGGCTTTAAGGGCTCGAGAGAATTTCTACAGAAAGGATTTGTAAGAGACAAAATTGGTGCCAAGTAAAGGGATCAGGGAGAACAAAGACACGGAGCGGAGGCATCTCATTTCTTAAGTGCATGACGGGTCGTGAGGTTTGGTGCAAGGGTGGTACGTGTGGACAGGAGGAGGAAGTGTCAAGCCAGAGAGGCGTGTTGGGGCTCCATTGCAGCCTCTTACAGATGTCTTTCTCAAGGAGCAAGGCCTCAAACCCCCAGATTAATCAATTTTATTTTTATTATTTATTTTATTTATTTATTTTGTTGAAGTAAAGTCAGTTTCCAATGTGTCAGTTTCTGGTGTACAGCGTAATGTTTCAGTCATACATATACATATATTCCTTTTCATATTCTTTTTCATTAGAGATTACTATAAAATATTGAATACAGTTCCCTGTGCTAGACAGTAGAAACTTTTTTATTTTATATATAGTAGTTAGTATTTGCAAATCTCTAATTCCCAATTTATCCCTTCCCACTCCTTTTCCCCGCTGGTAACCACAAGTTTGCTTAGTATGTCTGTGAGTTTGTTTCTGTTTTGTAGATAAGTTTATTTGTGTCTTCTTTTTTTTTTTTTTAAGATTCCACATATGAGCGATGTCATATGATATTTGTCTTTTTCTTTCTGGCTTACTTCACTTAGAATGATGATCTCCATCCATGATGCTGCAAATGGTATTACAAAATTAATTAATTAATCATTCTCAGGGAGCCCTGAGAGCTGGGATTGGTTTTTCACGGTAGAAAAAGTCTCAAGGGTGAAAGCGGTCCAACACTAGGATAGTTTATCAGTGGAGGCTTTAAAGAGTCCCTTCCTGGAGATTTTTATACCTGAAATAGACCTACCATTTGTTGATTTCCTGTGGTCTCTCCTAAAACCATGGGAGTGAACTAGACGAGCTCCCAGGCCCTGTGTTGCTTGATGTAACTCAACAAATATTTGAGTAGTGACTTGTCCGTGACCCCAGGCATGACTGTGACCGAGTTCATGCCATCCCTCCCTGCCTTCCAAGTGCCTCTCTTCCAGGACTCCTTTCTCAACAACTGAACTTCCGTCCACACAGTGGCCCAAATCTATAAATCATCTTGGATTCCTCTTCTCCCTCAGCACTCCCTTGCAAGTCACTGATCCTCGCCCTACTTCTCATTGGAATTTGTCCAGTTCTCTCCTGTCCCCCATCCCGACTGCAGTCACGAGGATCTTATGTGAATGACCACGGCAGTGTAAAGGATCTCCCTGCTTCCAAGCTCCGCCTTCCCTAAACCATCGCACACAAATGGTCTTTCTGAAATGTACATCTGAAGACGTTTCTCAGCGACCCCATCATCCTCACGGTTCCTGGGACTCCCAGCATGATCTGCTCTTAGGGTCTTTGCACTGCCTGTTCCCGGTTCTGGAATGCCCTTCCCCAGATATCCCGGCGAACTCCCTCTCCTCCTTCCAGTCTTTGTTTGAAGGTCTTTTCTCAATGACACTTTCTCTCACTACCCTCTTAAAAACTGTAACTTGCCCTCCTGAGCACCCTTCTGTTTTTTCCCCCATTGCACTTACCACCTTCTGACTTACTATAGACCTTACTTATTACGTTGATTGATTTTTATGTCTCCCCCCTCTAGAATGTAAGCTCCACTAGGGCAGGGATTTGTGTCTTAGGTCCACCGGTGTTGTGTACTCAAGAACGGAACAGTGCCTTATTCATAGCAGGGCTCACTAAGTATTTATGGAATGAATGGACAGTGGTCAGTGGACAGTGGAGTATTTTATACCTATTAACAATGAGGTATAAAAGCTCACAAACACCTGGCTCCTACTTACCTCCCTAGTCTCATTTTAGGGGGAAAAAAGTCTGTATGCTTTCTCCCATTCTGTCTCAGCTGTAGTTAACCCTCTCGTCTCTAGAGCTTTCTACTCACACTCTTCCGTGTCTTTCCATCCCAGTGGAATCCGTGTTCATCTTTCAGGTTTTAGTTTAGAGGGACTTCCCTGAATCTCGCCCCCCTCCCCCATGTGCTCCTTGCTGATCATACTGTTTTGAGTTGCTTCTCATTTGTGTCCGCGGCTCTCGGACAGGAGACTCTGCCTGTGATGTTAGTCTTTGCAGCACCTGGCACAAGGTTTGATGCATGGGAGGCTCTCAGTAAACAATTCAGTGATGAAAGAAATGCCCTCAGCTGTGATAACATTTCTGCACCCTTGACACACACTGCTTAGTAACTCCGCGGGAGTTTCTGGTGCTGCTTCTTAGGTAGTAACAATTGCTAGTACTTTTCTTACTCAATACTCATAACAGCTTTCTGAAGTAGGTACTTCCTTATTTGAGAAATGAAGGAACTTGAAGTTTAGAGACACTAAGGGTACTTTCCTCAAAGACACATCTGTAATTGTTGGATCAAGATACAAACCTAGGCAGTCCGGCAGCAAAGCCTCTAACCTTACAGGATATCACCTCACTCAGCCATTTTTTTAGGCGGGTGGGGTAGGTAATCAGGTTTATTTAAATGGCGGTTCTAGGGGATTGAACCCGGGACCTCGTGCATGGTAGGCATGCACGCTACCTCTGAGCTATACCCTCCCCTTCATTCAGCCATTCTGATTTGGGGTTTTCTCTTTTACTGAGTTCGAAATTAGTGAACTACTTGCCCTTAGCGAGTATGGCAAAGAACAACCCAGCCACCTTCAGTAAACATTTATCATGGTCCTGTGTCAAAAGAGCTGTCACTCAGGCTCCGTTTCACCAAAGCAAAAACCGAAGCACAGGCCGGGTGACGCCCCCGATGTCTAGCTCATCGTTATCATCACCACAGTTTACCCTTTTCTTCAACATATCCGATGTCCAGGCACCGTGGCAAACCCTTTCCACACCTCATCTCACTGAAGAACTCAGTTTTCGTTTAATTGAAGTTGAACCTTGTCTTTTGACTTCTACTGCATGCTTTTCTGGGTCACAAGGGCTTAACTCACTTAAAATAGTCATCAGAGATCCAGTGCAGTCTGGAGGGAGACCTGTCCAATCCCCCTCATTTTCTGGGAACTGAGCCTCTGAAAGGTTAAGTGCCTTGCGCAAGGTCAAGCAGGTGGTGGGCCAGCTGGGGCTGGAAGAGGCCTCGTGAATCCAGGTCCAGAGCTCTTGATAGGACGCTCTACAGCCAATCGCCCTTACCTTACTCAATGTACATAAATGAAAAAGCATCACGTCTTTTTTAAAATGCACTTAGCTAATGGAGAGTAGGTATCACTGCTCATGACTTATCATCTATGACATACTATTCGATAAATCGTGCCCTGGAAATCACACTTTTTCGCATCCTCTTCGAGGCGCATTTCGCGGTACGCAGGTGGCAGCGCAGCTGCACGGGCCCTTTGTGACTGGGTGATTAGAAGCCAGGCGTCCGCTCGCTGTTCACGACAGCCAATCAGGGCTCAGAACCCCAGAGCTGCACCAATCGGAGATTATCGAAGCCTGAACAAGGGCCAATTGGAGGCTCGAGGCCGAGAGCAGGGTGAGCCGCGAACAGCGATCAATCAGAGGGGAGGAGCGGTTCACCGACGTCCAATCAGCGGCCTCCAGACCTCCCGTCGCGGGGGACGCTGGCGCGAGTCCCGCGGGTCGGCCAATCAGCGGGCGAGCGGCAGCTGGTGCTCCCGGGGGCGGGGCCTGTCTTCGCGGCCGAACGGTGGGCGATGCGAAGAGCGAGCCGGGTGAGGAGAGCCGGGGCCGGGGTGGGCCTGGGCGCGCGGGGCCGGGGCTGGGGGCGCACGGGGCCGGGACAAGGTCACGGGATGCCGCCGGAGGGACCCTCTGAGCTGCAGGATGCTGCGGGGAGAGGTGAGGGGCTCAGTCCCGGGCTGGGGAGGTGGCCCGCTCCGGCCCGAGGGCTGGGGGAGGAGAGGACACTGTTGCCATGGCGACGCAGGTGCGCAGGCTGGTGACCCTTTTCCGCCCTGGATTGTGCGCACACCTCAGTCCGCCCCCGGCCACCTCCGCCCCGAGCGGCCTCCATCCTCACTGGCTTGCAGGCGGTTGGGCTGCGACCTGTACAAAAATAACCCTCTTTCGCAGCCGCCTCTGCGCCGGGACAGCGTGGCTTCTCGCCGCCCCCTCCCTCCCTCGCGGGCAGAGGGATTAAGCTCGTCCTGCGCCACCTGGTACAGCAGGCCTCTGCGGTGTGACCACCTGGGCCAGTTCACGGGACGGCCACAGCTGGGTTTCAGCGCAGCCGCCTGATTCTGAGGACTGAGAACTAGGGGCACCGTAGGATCCCCCCGATGGATTTATTAAAAAAAGGCATCCAGCCTTGTGCATAACAAGTACGTAGAGAACAGGATCTGAATGAATAAAGACCACGACATCTCCGTTCCATGAAGGACTGCGGGTCTCGAGAAGAAGGAAAGAATGAGGACCCAGCTATGCAGTGACCCACCTACTATGTAATTTTACATCTTCTAGTAACCGTATTAAAAAAAAAAGGTTAAATTAATTTTCGTATATGTTATTTACCTGATATAAAAATATCAATATGAAATATAATCCTTATTAAGTTAATATTATTGATTAATTAAATTAATACTAAGTTATTGGTAAGCTATCTTAAATTCTTTTTTTCATACAAAGTCTTCAAAATCTGATGTATGTCATATTCACAGGGCATCTCAGTTTGGATCAGCCACATGTTAAGTGCTCAGTGGCCCCATTTGGCTGATGGCTACCCTATGACACTGCACAGTTTTAAACATTTCTTCGTGTGTGTGTGTGTGTGTGTGAGAGAGTTAGTGCCAGATACATGAAACTCATCAGTGTTCTCTGAAGTCCTCTTGTATACAAGGTGGCACTGTGCCCTGAGGCAACAAAAAACAGAAGGCATGGTCTTTTTTTTTTCTCAAGGAGCTTCCAGTCCAGTTTAAAAAATAGGCACTCAAAAATTAAGCTGAATTTAAACTGGATATGATTCAGGCAGTGATAAGGATAACGGGGCAGTCTCTGACTGATTGACAAAGGAGATGGCTGGTAAGAGTCCTTATGAATTCTAGGGCAGGGTATTTCAGGCTCCTGTAGGAGCGGAAGACTTGAGTCTATCCTTGAAAGGTGGGTAAGAAGACTGGGCTGCTGGACATGTGGGGAGGGTGTTTGGGGTGAGTGGAACTGACCACAGCATCTCTTGTTTCTAGAGTTGAAAATTTGCAGAGTCCTGAGGCTTTCGGACCGAAAAAGACTCTCCTCTCTCACTAACGGTCTCCATCATGATTCATAGCCTGTTCTTGATCAACTCCTCCGGAGATATTTTCCTAGAGAAACACTGGAAAAGTGTGGTCAGCCGTTCTGTTTGTGATTACTTTTTCGAGGCACAGGAGCGAGCGACGGAGGCTGAAAACGTCCCACCTGTCATCCCCACCCCTCACCACTATCTCTTAAGTGTGTACCGGCACAAGATCTTCTTTGTGGCTGTGGTCCAGACAGAGGTCCCGCCCCTCTTCGTGATTGAGTTTCTCCACCGAGTGGTGGACACCTTTCAGGTGCGTGGATGTGAGGGGGCGCATGCCTGTAGGTGACAGAGTGGCTTTATGGTTCTGTTTCCCTTGTATTCAGCCTCAATTAAGGAACTTTGCCAAAAATCAAAACTCTGACATGACTTACTTCCTCTCCCATCTGATAAGAGTCTTGTTTCTGTTTATTCAATAAACAGAATTGGCTGCATTTCTAAAATGACAAATTGTAGACTTTTGAACCTGTTGCCCGAGAAGCCACCCTACTTGGTATGATTGTATACAGTCATTTCAGTTCTAGATATTGGAATTGTCTTTTTATTCACAAGTCTGAGGAGTTTAGATTTATTTATGGTGGACTTGATGTTAACCGTTGTTAACATTGTTTTGAGTCGCATCAAAAAGTGGTGAGTGTGTAAAGACATGTATTTTTAGGTAGAAAAAGCTAAATAATGCTTGTTTCACTCCTCCTGGCAGGGGTCATTGGTGAATCTATACTTCATCCTGGATTTGGGGTGCCTATCCACAGCATTTGAATACCTGTGATGGGCTCTTGTTGCAAATTTAAGATTAGAAAATCTGCTCCCGTGAGAATTTAAGTGACACATTTTACAAGATACAGTTTTCAAGTTCTTTCAGGAATAGACTGGAAGCTTTTGGGGAGGGGGGAGTCTGTTGTAATAGGATGTCAGCACCCTTTATAACACAGGATTCTAGGCTTGCCCAGACCCTGGATCCAGACAGTGAATCCTCTCCCTGAAAGAGTCGCTCAACTTCTAACTTTTGTGGTTATTTGCATAAGTCGGTAATAAAGTAGAATCAGGGGCCCTTTGGTTTAACTTCTGCATCATGTGAGGTAGGGAATCAGTCACATGAATATAGAAATTGTGGGACTGGAGAAGGAGAGAATGAGGACTCAGACATTACGGTAAATTAAAAAGCAAGTCAAAGAGTCCCTTCATTTGCCCTCGTGTGTAGATCACATGTTTAGAACAGCTTTCATCCCCAAAGAATTTAAATATATTTTTAAAAATTTTCCCCCCCAGTTCTTTCTGATAGTATTGTTCTGGGATTCCAGTGGCATGCTGGTTCCTCCACACGGTGAAAACCTGAGAACTCTAAACCCCAGTCCGTGGAGGAACTGGAAGGAGAAAGACCCAGCAGTTTAGATCTTTGACGGCTCTTCTTCTGAGTCCCACATACGATGCTCAACCCGGCTCTGACTTAACGGTCTCCTTGGCGAAACTCCACTTCTGCTTGAGAACTCCATAGTGATATTATGTAACTTCTTACAAGAAGGAAGTGAGAAAAGGTGTTTCATTTAGTTGAAACCACAGAGGAACTGGGGAAAACAGTGAAGCAGCTAGTTTGGAAGTCTAGGACTTTAGAGCTTGATGTTTTTAAAAATATATTTTTATTGAAGTCTAGTCAGTTTACAATGTTGTGTCAGTTTCTGGTGTACAGCACAATACTTCAGTCATATAGGAACACACATATATTCGTTTTCATATTCTTCTTCACTATAAGTTACAAGATATTGAATATAGTTCCCTGTGCTATACAGTATAAACTTATTGTTTATGTAGTTTATATGTTAGTATCTTCAAATCTCAAACTCCCAATTTATCTCTTTCCACCCGCTTCCTGCCCTGTTAACTGTAAGTTTGTTTTCTATGTCTATGAATCTGTTTCTGTTTTGTAAATAAATTCATTTGTCTTTTTTTTCTATTCCACTTATGAGTGATATCATACGGTATTTGTCTTTCTCTTTCTGGCTTACTTCACTTAGAATGACGATCTCCAGGTCCATCCACGTTGCTGCAAATGGCATTATTTTATTCTTTTTTATGACTGAGTAGTATTCCATTGTATAAATATACCACAGCTTCTTCATCCAGTCATCTGCTGATGGATATTTAGGTTGTTTCCATGTCTCGGCTATTGTAAATAGTGCTGCTCTGAACATTGGGGTGCATGTGTCTTTTTGAATTAAGGTTCCCTCTGGATATATGCCCAGGAGTGGGATTGCTAGATTATATAGAGCTTGACATTTTTGAAGCCCTTGTTAGAAGTAAACGGTCGCATCCTGATGGTAATGTGTTATCTGTTGGGTGTCCTCGGCCTGCATTAGTCCTCCAGTGCTGGACTGTGACAGAAGGGTTCCAGACGTAGAATGAATTGCACACACTTTGCCGTCAACCTTTGCCATACTCACGAGTCTCCTTTCAACCACTGATTTATAAAATCGGGTGAAGTGTTTTATTTTTCAAAATAAAATCACTCTTGAGAAGGAAATGTGTAACTTTTCCCCCCTTCAATCCTCTTTTTTTTTTTTTTGAGAGGGGGTAACTAGGTTTTTTTTTAATTTAATTATTATTTTTTTTTAATGGAACTACTGGGGATTGAACCCAGGACCTCATGCATGCTAAGCATGTGCTCTACCACTGAGCTACACCCTCCCCCCTCCTCCTTTTTTTTAAGAAGAAATTTTTTTGTTTGTTTTAGAAACACAGTCCTGGTTCCTAAGTGCTCCTAGATATTGGAATGTCTCTGATCATTGACATCATCTGATGTAATTTGATCATATCCGGAATCTGTGTTCAGTTTTGGGTATCATAATTTGAGGAGACTCTTGCAAAATTAGAGCATATTCAAAGAAATGGCAAGACAAGGAAACAGTCTAGAACCCTACCAAAACATGAGCAGTAGGAGGAACAAACAGGGAGTTCGGGCCCTGAGAAGGAAAATTGAAGTCAAAGCTTGTCCTTGTCTTCAGAGAACTGAGAGGCTGTTACATAAACTTGTTCTGTAAGGCAGATCTAGGATGCCAATGTCAGTTTAGCAAGAGAAAGAACTTTCTAATAAGTGGCGCTGTCCATGAATAGAATGAGCTTTCTCAAAAGGGGGACAAATTTCCTTCAGTGGATGAGTCATCTGAGAGGCCCAGCAGAAGGCGTGCTGACGTTGCTGGGAAGGGCGCACGAAGCGGCAACAAGCATTTCCCCACATCATTTCATCATCATGCATCTTGGTTTATGTTGTGCTATATAGTTGACAAAGCACTTGCACACATACTCTTTTTTTAATTTTAATTTAAAAAAATATTTTTGATAGACGTATGCACTAATGAAACCACCGTCACAACCCACAAACATGATAGCTAACATTTCCATCACTCCCCAAGAGGTGAACAATTTCAAATTCTCAATTCATCCCTTCCCACCCACTTTACCCCCCCACCCCCGGTAACTGTAAGTTTGTTCTCTACACATTATTCTCATTTAACCCATCATGTTTAGTTTTTACAACCCCCTGCACCCAGTGGTATTATCCTGATTCTACTATTGGAGAAATCAAGACCCAAATTAGTTAGCATGCCTTAATCTAGTAAGTGACAATTAAGATTATTACCCAGGCCTTGCAGCAACATGGATGGACCTAGAGACAATCATACCAAGTGAAGTAAGTCAGACAGAGAAAGACAAATACCACATGGTTATCATTTATATGTAGAATCTAAAAAACATGAGACAAATGAATTGATTTACAAGACAGAGACAGACTCACAGACATAGAAAACAAACTTACAGTTACCAAAGGGAAAAGGTCAGTGAGGGATAAATTAGGAGTCTGGGATTAGCAGATACAAACTACTATATATAAGACAGACAAACAACAAGGACCTACTGTACAGCACAGGGAACTATATTCAATATCTTATAACCTATAATGAGAAAGAATATGAAAAAGAATATATATATGGATCATATATATTAATATATAAAAACATAAATATGACTGAATCACTATGCTGTACACCAGAAACTAACATAACATTGTAAATCAACAATACTTCAATTAAAAACAAAAGATTATTACCTAGGCCTTCTGACTTGGATTCCAGTGCTTTTTCCACAATCCAGATAATTTAGTATCTAAGTTTAACCTTTGTTAGTAAAAGAACAAAGTCTTATGAGAAGCCTGGCATCTCGTAGGAATGATCCAGAGAGGTTTCCTGGTGTGCCAGCTCACCCCCCCTCATTTCATTTTATTTCCCTCCCAAATCTTATTTGCTGTGTAAATATTAAGAAATAGTATAAAAATAAGGGCTAAAAAGATTTTTCAGGCCAATCTGTATCATATCAGGTATCATTTTGCATAATTCTTTCAAATTCATATTCATGGCACATACGATAGTCTAGATTCAGTTTTATATTCTTTCTATTTTATTAGTTGAAGAAACGCCCGAAGAGATTAAATGGCTTCCTCTAGCGTATGAAAGGAGTCGTTAATGGCACTAGTACTGTAACCCAGGCCAGTGTTCGTTCTACTGAACTGGGCTGCCTGCGGGACTGTGCTGACACCTCCTTCACTGACTAGAGAAGAATATCCCAGAAACAGAGGAGACACGTGCACAGGGCCAGATCCCTGCTCTCGGGGAACATTCCTTCACTCACTGCAATCTCAGTGATAAATACGTATACATACTGTGTTTTCATCAGGATTATTTTGGAGTCTGTTCGGAGCCAGTGATAAAGGACAATGTGGTGGTGGTTTATGAGGTACTGGAAGAAATGCTTGACAACGGATTTCCATTGGCTACGGAGTCGAACATCCTCAAGGAACTGATAAAGCCTCCCACCATCCTTCGCACCGTTGTCAACACCATCACAGGTACGGAGGGGGCGCCCACCAAAGGCCGATGGCGTCTTGGGTGGGGCTTAGTCCAGTGTCGTGTGCTGTTCTGAGTGCTTGTCTTTGGGAATCTCAAATGTCCAAGTGCTTTCATCTTGCTCTTCATAGTCTTGTGAGGATAACCTGAAATATTTTTCTGTTATATAGAAAATACCCTGATTTCAATGACAGAATGCACTGTTCTCCTTTTAAAATCGTTTTCTTTCTAATTACAGCCCATGGTTATCATAGGAATGTCAGAAATACAGAAAAGCACAAAGAACATGAGAATAACTCATAATCCCGCCACATTTTTAACATACTGGTGTATATATTTTTTTGTCTTCTCTATTTAGACAGATTATGGATGGATGGATAGTTTTTTAAACAACTCTTGGGTGTGTATATGTATGTGTGTATGTGTGTGTGAATTCTGATAGCTACATACACCCATGAAATCACCACCACAATCAAGACAGCTAACCTTTCCATCACTCCCCAAGAGGTTCAGTTTTCGAATTCCTCTTGGATATTTTTAAACTTAACTTTTATGAATGTTTTGTGAACGTTATCCCATTATGATAAATATTCACCTGCCTCGTTTTCAATGACGTTACAATTTTCTGCCATAGTTATCTACTCTGTCCCTGTTTATAATGTTTCTGATTTTTCGTTCTTTTAAATAACAAGGAATTAGCATTATTCTACCGAGATCTTTGTGCACACCTAGAATGATTTCTCTTCAGTACTGGCAATGGAAGTACTGGATCAAAGGGTGTCTGCATTTTAAGGACTTCAGTGCGTTGTGCCCAACTGCCCCTCAGAAAAGTTGCACCAATTTACACTTTCAGGAGCAATGCCTATGCAACCTAGTCAACCCTATTCTTATTATTTTAAAAAACTTTGGCAGTTTGATACTTATTATTTACACACTTGTTTTTATTACTAAGGAAGTTAAAACCCATTCAAGTGTTTGTTGACTGTTTTCCCTCTATTGTGATTCACCTTTTTGGGTCCTTTGCCCATTTTTTGGTTGTTGAAATATTTTTTCTTTTTTCATTTTTTAATACAATTTACAATAATAATTTAAATTTAAGAGAATTCTTTTCACTTTAGGATATTAAACTGACACATGTACTGGAAATGCACACGATGGTTTGTAGTTCTTTTTATGTTTTGAATATTCTGTGTGGATTTTTTTCTCCCAGCCTGCTCCTTGTCACTGAACATTGTTCCAGGTGGTGTTTAGCCACGTTTAACATTTTTTGATTTTGGCAAATTAATCATACTGCTTCATTAAGGTTTTATATTTGGGATCTTGCTTAATATACAGTGTTTACAGGGGTTTTCATGGAATTTGACAAACTTATTGAAAAATACACTTTAAAAAGTATAAATATATAAGTATGGCCAGGATAATTCTGACAAATAATTACAAAGGGGTTGGAAGAATTTGCCCTGTCAAATATCAAGGCATATTAAGTTCATATAATGCATAAGACAAAACTTCATAGAATAGATAGAAGAGCTGGGACAGTTTTGGAGAAAAAAATTTTTTTTTAAAACGAGAAAAAAATTTGTCCTATCAGATTCAAGATATATTATGAAGTTTCAGTAATTTTTAAATATTATTAAAATATAGTATTAATAAATAGATAAACAATGATTGGGATAAAATAGAAAGTCCAGAAAGAGACACTTGCTTTTATAGGAATTTGGTATAGATAAATGTGCTCAGATGTCGAATCAGTGGACCCCAGGCCAGTTGTTAAATATGTTGTACTGGGACAGTCAGCTTTGATACAGAAGAGAAATGAAGTTCCCCTACTCATTCTATACACAAAATAAATTCCAGTTGGATCAAGAGTCAAACACACACAAACAAACTTCAAAATTGTTAGAAGAAAATATTGGAGAATGTCTTTTTGATCTCGAAGGGAAGGTCTTCTTTTTTTAAAAGTATAGTTTCTTCTAGTTCTTTCATGGTTTTATTTTTAGACTTAATTCTTTAATCCATTTGGAATTATATTGGTATACAATATAAGATAAGGCTGTATGTTTTTTTCTCCAAAATTGTCAGTCAGTTTCCCTAGCACCATTTATTGAATACTTTATCCTTTTCCCCTGTTTTAAAATATTTTTATCTTGTACTAAGTCATTGGATTTTTGGTTTGTTTTTAGGCTCTTCTGCCTTGTTACCATACTGCTTTAATTATTATAGCTTGATGATACATTTTAATACCTACTGCCTCTTTTTTTATAGTTTCTTATTTTAAAATTTTTAATAGTTTCTTTTTTTTAAACTAAAAAAAACTTTTGCATTCTTTTCATACTGCCTCTTTTTAAGAAAACAAATTTTCAATATTCTGGGTTCATTTAAACCTTAAAAACTTTGTTAGTGCCAGAATCATTTATGGTATGAAGTCAGTGTCCTGAATCTCACTGAAATCTAGAAAAGATATCTGAGAACCACTTTCGAATAGGTGAAATGTTCTGTAAACACGCTATGTGCGTGTGTTTAACATTTCTTTCTTTAGATTAAAAAGATCCAGGTTACAGACAAAGAAAATAGATTTTAAATTAGTTTTTCTATTTCAGAACTTCAGTGTAGAACTTTTGAATTAAAAAAAAAAGTATTTTTGATGCCTGTGGGGGAAAAACAAGTCAAGGAATCAATTTTCAGTGCTTATAGACAGGAAATGATCTGATTTATACTCTTTTCCTAAGTTTCAGTATTAGTATGAGAGAGACTGTGTTGATGTATACACTTTAAGAACTGGCATACATCTGCCTAAGAGCCACCTCAAACTAGAATACTGTTTCTACCCGTGAAAATTTTACATCAATATGTAGATTACCATCCCTACTGAAAGCCAATGCATTATTTAAGCTGCAAGCTATTGTGGAATTTGAGAAACCAAGTTCAGGTTACTTTCAAAACCAAAATATGACATCTGTTTCCCAGGTAACCTTTTTAAAGCTTTATTCTGCTTGAGGAGGCAGACCAGATGGTGACAAGCTTTAAAACGGACTTTGTGACCAAGATAAAAGTTGGGAAAACTCTAGTCTTTTTTTAAAAAAATTCTTGAACTAAGTGCATGAATAGTGGATGTGCATAGAGACTTGTAGGGAAGTGTTCTGTGGTCATGAGATCACTGGTTCTCTCTAATTGTCAAATATTCTCTGTCTCAGGAAGCACCAACGTGGGGGACCAGCTTCCCACTGGGCAGCTGTCGGTGGTGCCTTGGCGACGGACCGGGGTGAAATACACCAACAACGAGGCCTATTTTGATGTGATTGAAGAGATTGATGCCATCATTGATAAGTCAGGTGGGTGCCTCTGAGCCATTGACAGAGCTGTGAAAACAGAGAGAGGCCCCTTTCAGATGGTGTCTGCTAGTATCAGAATTGTCCCCCATTCATGGTCATTCATTTTGACTTGGTGCCAAGCACTGTGTCCTGGGAATGAACTGAAATATTATGAGACAGATGACATAGCCATACATGTAGAAACTCCTGAAGACACCCACAAAAAACTGTTATAGCTAATAAACAATTCAGTCAAGTTGTAGGATACAAAATCTGCATGCAGAAATCAGTGGCATGTCTACACAAACAACGAACTATGCAAAAAGGAAACTAAGGAAACAGTCTCATTTACAATAGCAATAAAAAGAATAAAATACTTAGGAATAAACTTAACCAAAGAGATTTATATACGGAAAATTACAAAACACTGATCAAGAAAATTAAAGGAGAACAGATGAATGGAAATGCCTGCTGTCTTCAGGGATTGGAAGAATTAATACTGTTAAATGGTCATAATACCCAAAGCAATCTATCCCCATCAAAACCCCAGATGCGCTCCACATCAAAATCTCAATGGTATTCTTTATAGAAAGAGGCAAAAAAAAAACCCTAAAATTCGTATGGAACCGCAAAAGACCCCAAATAGCCAAAGCAAGAACAAAGCGAGAGACTTCGCAATTCTCTATTTCAAAACAGATTACAAAATTACAGTAATCAAAACTATAAGACAGACATAAAAACAGACATACACTGGGGGAGGGCATAGCTCAGTGGCAGAGTGCACGCTTAGTGTGCACGAGGTCCTGGGTTCAATCCCCAGTCCCTCCATTAAAAAATAATAATAGTAAAACAGACATACACCAGTGAAACAGAATAGAAAGCTTAGAAATAAATGCATATATTTATAGTCAACTGATCTTCAACAAGAGTGCCAAGAACATAGCGGGGAAAGGCTAGTCTCTTCAGTAAATGGTGTTGGGAAAACTGGACAGTCACACGTGGAGGAATAAGACTGGCCCTTTATCTCGCATCACATATGAAAATCAACCCAAAATGGAGTAAAGACTTAAATGTAAAACCTGGAACCATAAAACTACTAATGGGAAACACAGGGAAGAAGATTCTAGACATGGGTTCTGGGAAATGACTTTTTCAGATATGACACCAAAAACAAAGGCAACAAAAGGAAAACCAGACCAATGAGACTGTGTCAAACTGAAGAGCTTCTGTACAGCAAAGGAATCAATCAGCAGAGTGAAAACCTACGAATGAGAGAACATATTTGCAAACCATGTATCTGGTAAAGGGTTAATATCCAAAATACATAAGGAACTCACACAACTCAATAACAAAAACCCAAATAACCTGACTAAAAAGTGGGCAAAAGACCCAAATAGACATATTAAAAAAAAAAAAAAGACACACAAATGGCCAACAGATATATGAGAAGGTGCTCAGCGTCACCAGTCATCAGGGCAAAGCAAATCAAAAACCACAGTGAGACATCACCTCACCCCTCACATCAAAAAGACGAAAGATAATAAATGTTGGCAACGATGCGGAGGAAAGGGAACCCTGGTGCACTGTCGGTGGGGGTGTAAGTTGGCCCAGCCACTGTGGAGAACAGTATGGAGGTGCCTCAGAAAATTGCAACTACCTTCTGGTCCAGCATTCCCACTTCTGGGTATTTATCCAAAGTAAATGAAATTAGTATCTTGAAGAGATATATGCGCTCCCATGTTCATTGCAGCATTATTTGCAATAGGCAAGACATGGAAACAGGGACAATTTCACTTATATGTGGAATCTAAAAGAGTCAGACTCATAGAAGCAGAGGGTAGAATGGCAGTGAGCTAGAAGGAGGGGAGAGAGACGTGTGGAGATGTTGTTCAAAGGGTACAAAGTTTCAGTTATGCAAGATGAGTAAGTTCTGGAGGTTTAATATACAGCACGGAGACTATAGTTGTATATTTCTCCCCCCAACGTTACTGAGGTGAATTGACAAAATTGTAAGATATTGAAAGTGGACATGATGGTGGCTTGCTGTACATGTGCACTGTGAAGGGATTGCCCTCACCTGCTTAAATTCACGGATCTGTCACCTCATGTGTATTGTACACTTGGAATTGCTAAGAAGATAGAACTTAAGTTCTCTCACCACAAAACAAACAAACAAAAACTAATTATGTGGGTGATGGAGTTTTTTGTTTTTTTAATGGAGGGACTGGGGATTGAACCCAGGACCTCGTGCATGCTAAGCATGTGCTCTACCACTGAGATCTATCCTCCCGCCACAAACAGGTGCGACTTTATCTAAGGTAATAGAAGTTGAATTTTAGGGGCGCAGATGAACTTGGATGGGCAGGAGGGGCCGTGCTGGGAAGCTGAAAGGGGTCCACGTCTTGATGTGGGTGGTGTGTGCCCAGGTGTGTACACATGTAAAACTCCACTGAGCTGCGCGCACTGACGGTTCATGCATTTCACTCTGAGTTCTACCTCAATGAAAAAGTGAAAAAGCAAAACCCCCAAAGCCCTAGCTGGCCAGATCATGAAGGGTCTCGTGTGCCACTTTCAGGAGCACCATTAGGAGCAACTGAAGAATTTTTAGATAAGGAGTGACTTGAGGAGATTTGTCGTCTAGGAGTGGCCGTCTGGCCTCCATGGGCAGCACAGCTTGGGTGGGGCAGCCTGGGGGCCGGGGAGGCAGGAGGCTGTTGAGTCCAGGACAGGATACAGACATCCACAGTGGTGGTGAGGATGGAGAGGGACAGAGAG